TATATTATTTTAAAATTATTGTTATAAATATAATTTTTTTATAAATTAAAAATTACAAAGAAAAAACTATTAAGAACAAAAATATAGGGTTTTTTATTTTACCTTAAATAAATTTAAAGGTTGAGATATCAATTTTACAATCTATTTTTAATTCATTGAAAAAAATTATTTCAAATTTGGAATTTAGAGATCATAATTTAATTAACAATTATTAAAATAAAATTAAAATTATATAATCATCCTTTCCTATTTTGGCTTTTGTTTAGAATCAATTTTGTATTATATGAATAACAAAAAGGTTTCTAATTACAACGTTTAAATAGATAAAAACAAAACTTTTTTATGTTAAAATTTTAAATTTTAAATTTTAAAATAAATAAATAAACTTTTTAAAAATATTTTTATTATGCAATCTATTATTTCACGTAAAAAAATTATATATATATATATACATATATATAAAAGAACTTGCTATGTCTGCAACCTCCTCTTACTTTGACCGGCGGGCCCTATCCTTTTTATCAACTACTGATCACGGTTCTAATTTTTCCATATCACTTCATTTTCTTCATTTTGATCTCTTTGTGTTTCCTCCATAGCTTTTCTTCCAACAACAGTTCATCTTTGTACCAAGCTGATTTTGGTTTTCTCTTTTTAATTCTTGACTTCGATTTCACCCAATTTGGACTTGCTCCTTCTAATTTCTATTAGTTTTGGAAAACTCATGCTGCGAGTTTGCTGCCATGAGAGAAGAATCTAACAGTTGCCATTGAATTGGTTGTGAATTTGTGGGTTAGATTCTGGACTAAATCCAGTGCCTTCAAACGAGAATCCAACAGCTTGAGTCATTTTGAGGTGAGATTTAGTCCTAGGATACCAAATGGTAGAGATTTGAGGAAAGCTAGGGGTGTTGGGTTGTGTCTGAACTCGATGATCTACTGAGTCGGGCCAGTTTGAATCCGGGTCGGGTCATGTCTGGATCCTATTTGTTTGTTCCGAAATCAACGACCGTGTCTTCTTTTTTTCTTTCTTCTACTTGGAGATTTTTTTTTTTTTGTTTGTTTTTATGTATTTTAAAATCGATTCTTTTTAAGAATTAGTATAGTGTATTTAAGAAAGAGTCTTTCTATTCTGTATCATTAATAGATAAGTTAAAAAAATAATCAATGTATTTTTTTATTATAAATTTATATTAAAAAATATTTATATTTAATTTATTAATTATTTAATTAAATTTAAAGTTTTTTTCTTGTATATCCTTAGCGTACAAGATAATAGTGTATTTATTACATATATTTATTATAAATATATATAAAAAATATAAGAATTGATATT